TCAGTTGTGTGGCTTTCTCCTGAAGCTCTCCACCCCGAAGTCGATGCTCTTGGACGCAGACAATTAGACAGCTCGCGCGCTCTATCTCGACAAAAGCCGATCCCCATCCAGACCCATTCACCGTCACGATTGTGAGAGGCCTGGTCTGTCGAGGGGATCCAGCAGCTCCGTCCTCAGTCCTCCTGGCCACGCCTGGGGGATCTGCTCCCCCGCCCCTCAGCGCCGTCGTCGGTGGAAGCTGCTGCGCCACCGCCTCTGCTGCCTGGTGCTGCTGCTGCTGCTGCTTGCTGTCTGCTGCCTGGGGCTGCGTCCGATGCTGCTGCTGGTTGGGGCGTTGTTGGCTGGGTGGGGCCTTCTGGTCCTCTCGGTCCCGGGGCCTCCTGCGCCGCCGTCGTCGCCGCCTCAGCTGCCCTGCTCCGTCCTCCTCTCGCTTCTCCCTTGCCTCTTCCAGCTCCTCTACCTCCTCTTCCTGCCCCCAGCCCTCTTCCGTGTCCGACAGGTGGAACTGCGGGTCGAAATATATGCTGGGCACGGTGGTAGTCCTCTGGGGAAGTTCCTGGAAAGGCCGATTGAAACTCACGAAGTCTGGTCCCTGCATCCTTCTCGTAACCCTGCCCCCCCTCCAGGTCCTCACCCATGGGTGCAGGGGCTGGGGCTGGAATAACGGAATCAAGGATCGACTTGAGGGCTTGCTGAACCTCTGGAGTATAACTGGCGGCCGCTTGCTCGAACTTGAGGAGGGATGCCGTGTCCTCATCAGACTGCCCCTCCAGCCTCCTCTTCTCCTTGGCGGCCTCCAACTCCTCCTTAGCTTTGATAATGTCTTCTCCTGCCACCCTGATCTTCTCCTCCAGATCCTTCCTCTCCTGGATGAGGTCTGCTTCGCGCTGCTCAGCTGCTGCGACACGTTTTTGGGGCCTTGACAACAACCTGCTCAGCTCTCTGAAACCTGACACCCCTGAGAAGGGCCTCGAATCTGTCCTGCCGGATGGCTCCTCCTCCTCCCTCAGGCTTTGGTTCTCAGTCCTTCCAAACTCCTCGAGGCTTAAGGGGTTCCGATGGATGCACAGCGTCTGGTCGCGCTCCGCAGTGCTTACACCATTTCCAGTAATATAGATTTTTCCTGCATCCACACTTCTGACAAGCCCAATTAGCAGTAGTAGTAGACTTACCACCACGGTGAGATCCATACTGCGACCCCATGGGACGGCGCGCGCGGGACCGAGGGGTCCTACAAAGGTAAAAGGGTGGGGTCGCGAACCCCAGGCCAGGAAGCCTCAAGGAGGGCCGGAACCCTGAACACGCCACAATCTCTTGAGGGAGGTTGGGAGTTCAGGAGCAGGCCCCTTGAGCCAAAATGGCTACGGTTTATCCTCCTCCTCCACCTCCCCCCCTCCTCCTCCTCCCCTCTCCCCCCTCTCCTCCTCCTCCTCCTCCTCCTCCTCCTCCTCCTCCTCCTCCTCCTCCTCCTCCTTTTCCTCCTCCTCCACCTCCTTTTGCAACTTCGTGGATACCAGCGAACTCCAGCGAATTCCTCCTCCTCCTCCTCCACCTCCTCATCCTCCTCCTGTTCCTCCTGTTCCTCCTCCTGCTCATGCTCCAGCTCCTGCTCCTCCCCCACCTCATCCTCCTCCGATTATGTTTCTTCTTACTAGTTTTAGTATCTCCTTCGTATTACTAGTCTTCTTATGAGTAATGGTATTATCATCTTCTCCGTTATTATAATTATTATTGGTTACTGTTATTATGATTACTGTTATTCTCAGTGCGATTAGTATTATTATCACTGTTATTATTAGTAGTATCATGATTGGTATTATCATTGATTGCATTGGCCTTCTTATTAGCCGTATGCATATTCCTAGTATTATTGGTGTTATGAGTATTATTATGATTAATAAGTTTATCATTCGTTGCACCATTAGTACTATTTGAAGTATTAGTATTATTAGTCGCATTCGCATACTCATTACTAGTACTATTAGTATTCGTAAAAGTAGTCGCATTACTACTCTTATGATGGATATTACTAGTAATAATAGTAGTACTATTACGTTCGTTATTCGTTTTATTATTGATATATTTATGAACTATTTTTACGTTTATGTATTATAACTATCGTTATAGCAATAAGTATACTCATTCGTACCAGTGTGATGATTTGTCGTTTTATTAGTTTTGGTATTGTTGTTCGAATTAGTTATATTCATACTAAGATGATTTGTTATAGCATTCGTATTACTATTGTTCGTGTATACAGCGTCGTCTTCGTTTTGATAGTACGAATAGATATCATTCCGAGTATCATTACGAGTCGTAGTCATCTGCTTAATACAATCAACGCGTGTATGAATAGCAATAGTACTGTCAGCACTACTCTTATTTGTATCACTATTCTTCGTATTATTCAGATTATTGTTCGTGCTTCCCTTGCTAGTAGTCGTCGCATTATTCTTCTTCGTATTATTCGGCTGCTTGCTATGAGTAGTAGTAATATCATTATTATCAGTTCTTAGTTTCATTATTCTTATTATTTGTGACATTACTATTCTTGTTAGTAATGTTACTCATACTGCTTCTGCTTAGTACTATTCCTCTGATTGTTCTTGATCGTAATATTCTTATCGTTTCATTATTAGTCGGAGGTGAGGGGGTGAGATATTGATGGAAAGGAGAGCGCCCGTACGGGGAAATCGGTTTCGATTTCGTGTTCGTGCGTGCCGTGCGTGCGGGCGAGGCGAAGCTGCGTGGGCGGGCGAGAAATGTCCCGCCTCTGGCTGCGGCGCGGCCAAACCACATATTTCCTGTCCGGGAACGGGTGGCGCGCGGTATCCCGCCGGTGTCCCGCCGGTGTCCCGTCGGTGTCCCGATGACGATGACGATGTTGATGATGATGATGGCCATGGTGGTGATGATGATGGTATCCCGATGATGATGCTGCTGATGATGCTGATGTTGCTGATGATGAGGGTGGTGTCCCGATGATGATGATGATGATGCTGATGTCGATGATCACGATGATGTTGATGATGATGAAATGATGAGATGATGATGATGAAGATGATGATGATGATGATGGTGTCCCGATGACGATGATGATGAGGATGTTTATGATGATGTTGATGATGATGGTGATGATGATGGTACCCCAATGGTGATGCTGATGTTGATGATGATGATGATGACGATGATGGTGTCCCTATGTTGATGATGATGATGGTGATGAGGACGATGATGAGGTGATGATTGTTTTGATGATGGTGGCCCGATGATGATTGTGCTCATGTTGATGACGATGGTGTCCCGATGATGATGATTATGATGATGGTGATGATGATGATGGTGACGATGATGATGGTGTCCCGATCATGATGTTGATGATGATGTTGCTGATAATCACGGTGTCCCAATGATGATGCTGTTGATGATGTTGCCCATGATGGTGATGAAATAGTTATGATGATAGGGTGTTCCGGTGATGATGATGCTGTCCCGATGATGGTGGTGATGATTAGGATGATGATGATGGTGATGGTGACGATGATAATGTCCCGATGTTGATGATGATGGTGATGATGATGATGGCCATGGTGGTGATGATGACGGTGTCCCGATGGTGATGATGATGATGCTGATTTTGCTGATGACGATGATGATGGTGCCCCGATGATGATGATGGATGATGTTGATGATGAACAGATGATGAGATGATGATGATGAAGAAGATGATGATGGTGTCCCGATGATGATGATGATGAAGTTGATGGTGATGATGATGCTGTTGATGATGATAATGATGGTGCCCGGGTGATGGTGATGATGCTTATGAGGATGACGATGATGGAGTCCCGATGATGGTGGTGATGCTGAGGATGATGAAGGGGTGATCATGATGTTTTTGGTGACGGTGGCCCGATGATGATGATGATGCTGATGCTGATGATGATGGTGTCCCGATGGTGATGATGGTGATGATGATGGTGAAGATGATGATGGTGTCCCGATGATGATTATGTTGATGATGATGCTGTTGCTGATGATGATGATGTCCCGATGATGATGATGTTGATGATGTTGTTCATGATGATGATGAAATGATGATGATGGTGGTGTTCCGATGATGGTGCTCCGATGATGATGATGTTGATGATGATAATGGTGACGATGATGGTGTCCCGATGATGATGATGGTGATGATGATGATGTTGATGGTGGTGAGGTGATGATGATGGTGTCCCGATGATAATGATGTTGATCATGATAGTTGATGATGTTGGTGACGATGATGTTGATGATGATGACGTTGATTGTGAGATCGATGATGCTATCGATAGTGAGATCGATAGTGAGACCGAATGTGAGATAGATTGTGAGATCGATGTTGAAATCGATAGTGAGATCGATTGTGAGATCGATAGTCGGATCGATTGTGTGATCGATCGAATGAAATAGATCGAGTGAGAGCGATTGGGAGATCGATCGTGAGATCGATCGAGCGAGACCGATAGTGGGATCGATAGTGAGATCGATAGTGAAATCGATCGAGTGAGACGTTGGTTCCCCCCCCCCGAACCTCCTTATCACCCGACGGGTGGTTGTATAGGTAGTCCGTTTCTTATCTTTCTTATTCGTCGTCTTGTGTTTCTTGCTCCTCCTCCTCCTATTCCTCCTCCTCATCCTCCTCCTTCTCCTCGTCCTCCTCCTCCTCCTCCTCTTCTTCCTCTTCCTCCTCATCATCCTCCTCCTCCTGCCCCTCCTCCTGCCCGTCCTCCTCCTCATCATCCTCCTCCTCATCCTCCTCCTCCCCCTAGTCTCCCTCATCCTCTCCCTCCTCCTCCTCCCTCCTCTGCCTCCTCCACCTCCTCCACCTCCTCCTCCTCTTCCTGCTGCTCCTCGTCCTCATCCTCCTCCTCATCCTCCTCCTCCTCGCCCTCCACCTCCTCATCCTCCTCTTCCTCCTCCTCCTCCTCGGAAAATCATGTCGCTCCCCCTCCCCCCGCCTTCGTCGTTATCCACATGATGGCGCGGTAGCAGCGGTCCTCCGCGTTCTCCGCCTCGGGGAGCGCAATGGACGATCTTCGCACCAAGTCGACGGACAGCTGTCAGAAAGAAAACTACGTCACCTATCTTCGTTCATCGCGAACCGCGATGCGCGTCGCGCGGTTATCGTTGCACCAGCGCGCCCTCGCGCCGCCCCTTTTGCACACGGGCAGCCGCTCTGGCCCAGACCGCGACGCGCGAAGTTCGATTATCTTCGCGCCCCGCGGGTGACCTGGCCTTCTCTGTAAACCTCCGGAGAAAGGGAAGGACGAGGGCGAGAAAAAAGCAGCAGCAGGATCAGCAGCGGAAGCACGAGGGGCAGGAGCCAGAGGGAGGATGAAGAGGGGCGGAGAAACGGGGAGCAGGAGCAGGAGGTTGAGCGAGGACGAAGGCAAAGGGGAGGAGGAGGCGGAGGAGGAGGAGGAAGGAGCAGGTGGAGAAATCCCACCAGCCCTTGAGGGCCGAGGTGGTCGAGGATGCTCCCTCTGCCGCCTCCCCATTTTCCCCCGCGTGGAAGGGCTCATCTCGGCTACTGTTCCCAAACACTCTCTTCCCCCAGTCGACCAGCGGCCGACCAGAAACCAAGCCAACCCCCTCCGCCGCCATCCGTGCCAACGGTACCCTGGCGAAAGACCCAAGCATTTGCAGCTGTGCGTACCGCTTTGAGGGTACTGCCTTCGGTGGAACTCCCTTTGAGGCCACGAAGCGCACGAGGGGTGTGCTGAAAAATGGCGGGGCCGTCATGCAAACCCTCACACTGAGGCCGTCGGTGGAACTTCCTACGGGGGAGGTAGCGCGTTTCACGGGCGCTTGCCTTGGGAATATTCAGCGGGGCGTTCGAACCGAGAGGGGGAACCCCACCCGGGGGGGGGTTCGAACCCACCCTCACCCCACTCCCCCCCTGACGCCGGCGGCGGCTGGCATCGCCGACGGCGACAAGCGGCGACGATGACCAGGACGAAGAAGACGACAACGACGACAAGGTCCCGTGTAGTCCTCTGTCTTCGGCCCTGAGTTTCGGAATATTGACTGGCCCGAATTTCAAATCTAAATAATATTCTTCGTTGCGTCGCGTGCCTCCCGCGCTTTCTGTCGTCGTCGGCGTCGCCGTCGCTGTCGTCGTCGACGTCGTCGCCGTCGTCGTCGTCAATGTCGTCGTCAATGTCGTCGCCGCCGTCGTCGCCGCCGACATCGTCATCATGCTCGAAGTCGTCGTGGTGACCGTCGTGGTCGTCGTCGTCGTCGTCGCCGTCGCCATGTTCGTGGTCGTGCTCCTCGTCGCCATCGTCATCGTCAATCGGCGACATCATACTCGAAGTTGTCGTCGTCGTCGTCGACATGGTCGTCGTCGCCGTCGTCATGGTCGTCGCCGTCGTCGTCGTGGTCGTCATCGTTTTGGTGGAGCCGTCGTCGCCGCCACCGTCGTCGTCGTCACCGTCGTTGTCGTCGTCGTCACCGCCGTCGTCGTCATGCTCATCGTCGTCGCCGCCACCGTCGTCGTGGTCGTCATCGCCATCGTCGTCGTCGTCGTCGTCTCGACGTTGTCGTCGTCGTCGTCGCCGTTGTCGTCATCGTCCTCGACGTCGTGGTTGTGGACGTCAGCGTCGTCATATTCGTCGTCGTCGTCAATGTCGTCGTCAATGTCTTCGTCAATGTCGTCGCCGCCGTCGTCGCCGACATCGTCATCATGCTCGAAGTCGTCGTGGTGACCGTCGTGGTCGTCGTCGTCGTCGCCGTCGCCATGTTCGTCGTCGTTCTCCTCGTCGCCATCGTCATCGTCAATCGGCGACATCATACTCGAAGTTGTCGTCGTCGTCGACATGGTCGTCGTCGCCGTCGTCATGGTCGTCGCCGTCGTCGTCGTGGTCGTCGTCGTTTTGGTGGCGCCGTCGTCGCCGCCGTCGTCGTCGTCGTCACCGTCGTTGTCGTCGTCGTCGCCGCCGTCGTCGTCATGCTCATCGTCGTCGCCGCCACCGTCGTCGTGGTCGTCATCGCCGTCGTCGTCGTCGCCGTCGTCGTCGTCTCGACGTTGTCGTCGTCGTCGCCGTTGTCGTCATCGTCCTCGACGTCGTGGTTGTGGACGTCAGCGTTGTCATATTCGTCGTCGTCGTCGTCATCGTCGTCGTGGCCGTCATCGTCGTCGCCATCTTCGCCATCGTCGTCGTCGTCGCAGTCGTCGTCGTAGACGTTTTCGTCGTCGCCGTCTTCGTGGTCGTCGTGGTCGGCGTCGTCGTCGTAGCCGTTTTCGTCGCCGACGTCTTCGTGGTCGTCGTGGTCGTCGTCGCCGTCGTCGCCATCGTCATCGTCGTCGTCGCCGGCAGCGTCGTCGTCGTCGCTGTCGTCGCCGCCGTCGTCGTCATCGTTGCCGTGATCGCCGTCGTCGCCGTCGTCGTCGTCGCCGTCGTCGCCGTCGTCGTCGTCATTTTCGTCGTAGTCGTCGCCGTCGTCGTCACCGTCGCCGTCGTCGTCGTCGCCGTCGTCATCGTGTTCACCGTCGTTGTTGCCATCGTCGTCTCCTTTGTCGTCGTCGTGGTCGTCGTCGTCGTCGTCGTTCTCGTCGTCGTCGTCGTGGTCGTCGTCGTCGTCGTGCTCGTCGTCGTTTTCGTCGTTTTCGTCGTCGCCGTCGTGGTCGTCGTCGTCGTCGTCACCGTCGTCGCCGCCGCCGTCGTCCTCGTCGTCGTCGTCGTCACCGTCGTCGTCGCCGTTGTCGTCGTGGTGCACGTAGTCATCGCCGTCGCCGCTAACACCGTCAACACAGTCGTCGTGCTCCTCGTCGCCGTCGCCGTCGTCGTGGCCGTCGTCGCCGTCGTCGCCGTCGTCGTCGTAGCCGCCGTCGTCGTGGCCGTCTTCGACGTCGAGCTCGTCGTCATCGTCGTCCTGTTCGTCGTCTTTTTCGTCGTCGTAATCGTCGTCGTCATGCTCATCGTCGTCGCCGCCGTCGTCGTCGTCGTTGTCGTCGTCGTCGCCTTGCTCGTCGCCGTCGTCGTCGTCGTCGTGCTCGTCGTCGTCGCCATCGTCGTCGTCGTCGCCGTCGTCGTCGTCGTCACCGTCGTCGTCGTCGCCGTCGTCGCCGTCGTTGCCGTCGTCATCATCATGTCGTCGTCGTCGCCGTCGTCGTAGTCATTTCCGGCGTAGTCGTCGCCGTCGTCGCCGTCGTCGTCGTCGTCACCGTCGCCGTCGTCATCGTCGCCGTTGTCGCCATCGTCCCCGTCGTCGTCGTCGTTGTCGTCTTCGTCGCCGTCGTCATCGCCGCCGTCGTCGTCGTCGTGGTGCTCGTCGCAATCGTCGTCGTCGTCGACGTGTTATTCGTCGTCGTCGTCGTCGTAGTCATCGTCGCCGCCGCCGCCGCCGCCGTCGTCGTTGTCGTCGTCGTCGTCGTCGTCGTCGTCGTCGTCGTCGTCGTCGTCGCCGCCGCCGCCGCCGTCGTCGTCGTCGTCGTCGTCGTCGTCGTCGTCGTCGTCGTCGTCGTCGTCGTCGTCGTCGTCGTCGTCGTCGTCGTCGTCGTCGTCGTCGTCGTCGTCGTCGTCGTCGTCGTCGTCGTCGTCGTCCTCGTCGTCGTCATCGTCGTCGTCATCGTCACCGTCATCACCGTCGTCGTCGTCGTCGTCGTCGCCGCCGCCGCCGTCGTCGTCGTCGTCGTCACCGTCGTCGTCGTCGTCGCCGTCGTCGCCGTCGTTGCCGTCGTCATCATCATGTCGTCGTCGTCGTCGTCGTCGCCGTCGTCGTAGTCATTTCCGGCGTAGTCGTCGCCGTCGTCGCCGTCGTCGTCGTCGTCGTCACCGTCGCCGTCGTCATCGTCGTCGTTGTCGCCATCGTCCCCGTCGTCATCGTCGTGCTCGTCTTCGTCGCCGTCGTCGTCATCGCCGCCGTCGTCGTCGTCGTGGTGCTCGTCGCAATCGTCGTCGTCGTCGACGTGTTCTTCGTCGTCGTCGTCGTCGTCAACGTCGCCGCCGCCGCCGCCGCCGCCGTCGTCGTCGTCGTCGTCGCCGTCGTCGTCGTCGTCGTCGTCGTCGTCGTCGTCGTCGTCGTCGTCGTCGTCGTCATCGTCGTCGTCGTCATCGTCGACGTCGTCGTCGTCGTCGCCGTCGTCACCGTCGTCGTCGTCGTCGCCGCCGCCGCCGCCGGCGCCACCGCCAGCCGGCGCCGGCGCTGGCGCCGGCCCAGAGGAACAGGGGGGACTCGAACCCCCCGCCCACCATTGAACTGTCGTCCTCGTCGACGCTCCCCGCCGCCGCCGACAGCCGCCGTCGCCGCCGGCGCCGGCCTGGGAGTGGGAGGGGGGCCGCCGCCGCCGCCGCCGCCGCAAGCCCGGGAGGAGGGGGGGCTCGAACCCCCGCCCTTGAACCAGGGGGGAGGGGGGGGAGCCTGGTTCTGGACCCCCCCCACTCCAAGCGCGCACAGAACGCGCTCTTTCCTATGGAGATACACAATGCGCGAGGGGTGTGCCGAAATGGGGCGAGGCCGCCATGCGAACCATGGCAGTGGAGCCCCCGATGGTCCCACGAGAAGTGGGAGGTCTGCGCCGAAATGGACATGCGGAGACGCCATGTGAACCCTGGCATCTGGGCCTTCGGCGGAACTCCCTGTGGGAACACGAAACGTATGAGGCATGCGCCGAAATGGGGCGGGGCCGCCATGCGAATCCGCCATGCGAATCCTAGCATTTGGGCCTTAGTTGGAACTCCCTGTGAGGCCACGAAACGGTGAGGGGTGTGCCGAAATGAGGCGGGGCCGCGATGCGAACCCTGGCACTGCGGCCGTCGGTGGAGCTCCCTATGGGGCCACGAAGCGCGTGGTATGCCGAAAAGCAGCGGGGCCGCCAGGCGAACCCTGCCACCGCGGCCGTCGGTGGAGCTCCCTATAGGGCCACAAAACGCGCAAGGGGTGCCGAAATGGGGCGGGGCCGCCATGCGAACCCTGGAAGTGGAGTCCTCGATGGTGACACGAAACGTTTGAGATCTGCGCCGACATAGACATACGGGGCCGCCATGTGACCCCTGGCATCTGGACCTTCGGTGGAACTCCCCGTGGGGACACGAAGCGTGCGAGGAATGCGCCGAAATGAGGCGAGGCTGCCATGCGAACTCTGACATGTGGGCCTTGGTTGGAACTCCCTACGAGACCACGAAACGTGTGAGTGGTGTGCTGAAATGAGGCGGGGCCGCCGTGCGAACTCTGGCACACTTGGGATTAAGTTTGGGCTCCCTGTGGGGGCACGAATCGTGCGAGGTATGTGTGTGTGTGTGTGTCAAAATGAAGCGGGGCTGCCATGCGAACCCTGGCATTTGGGCCTCAAATTGGGCACCCTACGGGGCAACTCAACGTGTGAGGGGTGTCCCGAAATAAAGCGGGGCCACCGCGCGAACCCTGCCACTGGGGCCTTCGGTGGAGCTCTCTATGGGGCAACGAGACGTGCGAGGGGTGTACCGAAATGAGGTAGGGGCACCATGCGAACCCTGGCACTGGGGCCTTCCGTAGAGCTCCCACATGAGGCCTCGAAGCGCGTGAGTGATGTACCGAAATGCGGCGGGAACGCCATTGCCAATCCTGGCATTTCTGCCTTCGGTGGAGCCCCCTTATTGGGCCACTAAGCGTGTGAGGCGTACGCCGACACAGACATTCGGAGAGCAGCGGCAGGAGGACGGGGAGGAGGAGGAGGAGGAGGAGGAGGAGGAGGAGGAGGAGGACGAGGAGGAGGAGGAGGAGGAGGAGGAGGAGGAGGAGGAGGGGGAGAGGAAGGAAGGCAAAAAACGCGGGGCGCTGATGATTCAGACCGAGGACCAAACACTTCAGGATGGTTGCAAAATCAGCCTGGCGAAGGACCCACCCATTTGCAGCTGCGAGTACGGCAAGACAGGTGAAAACTGAGGGAGGGGGCTAACGAAAGGACTAAGGCGTGCGTGGACGGAGGCGTGCGTGAGAAGGACGGAGCGACGTTGCTGATAGGGCCGCAAGGCTCCACCGCAACGGGCTACATCTGGATGTAACCCGTCATGGCTGATCTGAGCGTCTGTCGGCCCGGCCCTGGAGAGCAGCAAGACGCGGTCTGGGGAGCAGCAGGCGGCGGGGCCTTTGGTGGAGCTCCTATCGGGCCACCAACAAAGTGCGAAGGGTGCGGCACACGGGCGCGGGCACGCATGCGATTCCTGCCGATGGTGCAGTCGGTGGCGCTCCCTGGGGCCCCTATGGGGCTACGAACCGTGTGAGGAGTGTGCCGACATGCGACTGGTGCGAAGGGCAGAGGCAGGGATGGGAGGAGGGACGGTTCAGTGGGAGGGAAGGATGGGGACACCACAGAATGGCTGGGAACAAACGTCGGAGATCTGGGAGCCACTCGCCGCCCTGCCCACCACGTCGCTGCAGCAAACGGCGCCAGACTTGCGCCTTGCTTTGTCAATACGTTGGGGGTCTGGGGTCGAGAAGAAGGCAGAGGAAGAGGAGGGAAAGGAGAAGGAGTAGGACGAGGACGAGGGCGAGGACGAGGAGGAAGAGGAGGCGACGACGACGACGACGACGAAGACGACGACGACGACGACAACGACGACAACGACGAAGACGCCCACCACGTCGTGGCAGCTCCTGTCTTCGAACCTGGCCTCGTGCGCCTCCGTCGGCACCTCGGCGCACGCTCGCGCGAGGCGGGCTCGCATGTCGGGGCGCCAGCTTTTCTTCCTCCTCGTCGTCGTCCTCGTCCTCGTCCTCGTCCTCGGCGTCCTCCTCCTCCCCCTCCTCCTCCTCCTCCTCCTCATCCTCGTCGTCGTCCTTTTCCTCCTCCTCCTTCTCCTCCTCCTCCTCCTTCACCTCCTCCTCCTCCTCCTCGTCCTCCTCGTCCTCCACCTTATCCTCCTCCTCCTCCTCCTTCTCCTCCTTCTCCTCCTCCTCCTCCTCCTCCTCTTCCTCCTCGTCCTCCTCTTCCTCCTCCGCCTCCTCCTCCTCCTGTTCGTCATCTTCCTACTTCTCGACCCCAGACCTCCAACGTATTGAAAAAGCAAGACGGAAGTCTGTCGCCGTCTTCTACCTCTGGGGGCCCTCGCTGGGCCCTGGTGGCCAACAAGGATCAACTCAGCATGAAAAGCCGGTCCCAGGAATGGTCGAGACTTCCAGGGACGCCGCATTGAGGAAATCTAGACATCGAAACTCTCGGGGTGTTGCTGGGAGTGGCCCTGGCCCTATCCGCCACCGTGCCTCTCGGCACGGAGTGGGCGTAACCTCGAATCCTTTGCCTCATCCCTGAAACCTCAGTCCTCAGTCCTGAGGAATCTTTCAAAAGGCCCGGACCCCACATTCCGAAATCTCTAGGGCTTCAAGCGTGCCGCCTGGGCTGTTACGAATGGTGGCGCATGAATTTGTCTGACCCAAATGGCCCTAATACTGGCCAAGAGGAACCTAAGAGGCTCCGAAGACGGCCCAAGAGGGCCCCGAGTCGCCGAAAGATCGGCCCAAGACACCCACACCCAAAATGGCCTACAGACGGCGCAAAAGGCCTCCAAAAGGCCTCCCAAGAGGGCCCGTTCTGAAGTTTTCGAAAGATTTGGGCGTTCTCGCCTATTCGGCTTTCCGACGCTCCAAGAGGCCTCCAAGAGGTCCCCAAGACGGCCTCAAAAATGGCCCAACAGATGGAACAGTACTTTTCCGCCCCTAGAGGCCTCCCGGAGACCCCGAGAGGCGCCCAGGAGGCCCCAAGAGGCCCCCAAGACGCTCCGAGAGGCCCCCTGGAGAGAGGCCCCCAGAGGCCCCAAACAGCCCCGGAGAGGCCTCCAGAATGCCTCCAAGAGGCCTCCCACGAGATCCCGACGAACATCCAACAGGCTTCAGACCCACCACCCAAGCAAGGTGGTGGGATGTGCCGAAGGCCATTAAACCTGCTGCCCTTTGGCTTGCCACAGGGTCGCACGGCGTGCTGGACGTTCTGAAAGGATGTTGGTTCTTTCGCAACTCCCTCTGTGCCTTCGGTACAGCGCGCCAGCCACCCGGAAAGCTGTTCGAGAGGTGGTTGCCAAGGTTTTTCCTGCTACAGGTGGCTCCAAGATGGCCCACGATAGCCTCCAAGACGGCCAAGATGGCCCCAAGTTCGCCCAAGAAGGCCTCAAGATGGCCCCAAAGGCCTCCAAGATGACCCCATGACGGCCCAAGAAGCCTCAAGACGGCCCCAAGAGGGCCCCAAGGCGACCTCCAAGACGGCCCCAAGAGGGCCCCAAGATGGGCCAAGAGACCTCCAAGACGCCCAAAATGGCCTTCAAGACGGCCCCGAAGCGCCCCAAGAGGACCCCAAGTCGGTTCAGAGAGGCCCCCAAGTCGGCTCCCGACGGCGTCAGACGGGCCAGGAACCCACCAAGATGGCCGAAGTTGGCTCGAAGCTGGCCAAAGACGGCCCAAGAGGCCTCCAAGAGGGCCTCCAGGAAGGCCCGAAAAGGCCAAAACCATCGATGTCCCATAAGTTTGTTGAAAGGATTGTAGCATTTGCCTTTTGTTCGGCCTTCCGACAGCCCGAGACGGGCCAAGTGCCCCCGCGGCCCAAGAGGCCTTCAAGACGCTCAAGATGGCCTCCAAGAAGGCCCAAGAGCCCTCCAAGACGTCCTTCAAGCAGGCGGCCCGAAAGGGTCAAAATGGCCTCCCGACGGCCAAGATGACCTTCAAGATGCCCACGTGTTCCCCGAAGGCTTTCCAAACCGATTCGGGGAACACATGATCCGATAGCTTGGCAGGTCTGGCCTCAACGTTCGGCCACATAGGCACTTCCAAAAAGGCAGAAGGCGGCGGTGATTCGCCGTAGGCGTCTTCGATCCGCCGCCCCCTGTTGATTCATCACAAGGGTGCCCGGCGTGCTGAACCCTTTCGGTTTTGGTTTTACTTCTTCTTCTTCTTCCAAAAGAACTCCCCCATGGGGCTTCGGCGCGTCCCACCTTAGGGTCCAAGACGACCGGAAATCTCCACAACGCCGCCTCCAAGACGGCCAAGAAAACATAAGATGGCCTCCAAGTTCGCCCAAGACGGAGAAGATGGCGCCAAGAGAGCCCAAGATGGCCCCAAGATGTTTCCAAGACGGCCCAAGATGCCCCCAAGATTGCCAAAGATGGCCTCAAGATGGCCCAATACGGCCCAAGAGGCCCCCAAGACGGCCGAAGAGACCTCCAAGAGGGACCTCCAGGAAGGCCCGAATAGGTAAAATGCATTGCTTTTCAATAGGTTTTGAAGGATTCTGGCGTTTGCTCATTTTCGGCTTTCCGACGGCCCAAGGCAGCCCAAGAGGCTCCCAAAATGTCCCCAAGAGCGTCCAAAAGGCCTCCAAGACGGCTCCCTGACGGCCCAAGAGGTCCCCATTACGGCCTCAAGAGGGCCCCAAGACGGCCCAGGAGACCTCCAAAGCGCTCAAGACGGCCTCCAAGACGGCCCTCAAGCGCGCTAAGAAGGCCCCACGTCGGCCTAGGGAGGACCCCAAGACGGCTTCCGACGGCGTCAGACGAGTCAGGAGCGCCCACGACGAACGAAAACTGCACAACGACCGCCCCCAAGAAGCCTCCACCAAAGGCCTCCAGCAGGCCCAAGGAGGCTCCAAAGAGGCCTCGAAGAGGCCCCCAAGAAGCTCACAGCAGGCCCCAGGGGTGCCCCAAGAGACCCCCAAGAAGCCTCATCCTCCTACTCTTCCTCTTCCTCTTCCTCTTCCTCTCCATGTTCATTCTCCCCCACGTGTTCCCCGAAAGCTTTCCAAACCAACTCGTAGAACTCATGGTCCGACAGCTTGGCAAAGCTCGAGCCCAACTCTCGGCCACATAGGCGCTTCCCCAAAAGGCAGGGGGCGGCGGTCATTCGCCGTAGGCGTCTTCGATAACACCAACGTTTACATATGCGCTGATGATTCCTATCCGCCCCCGCATGCTGCTCCCAGATGCGCCAAGGCAGCGCCGAGACGCACCGACGCGACTCTGTCATATCCCATTATGAGAGAGAGAGGGGGGCTGGCGGCACGGGGCGAAGCCCTTACGGATAACCAGGACTATGCCGAATGTGGTCCAGCTCTCGACCACGGACATACCCGCGCCGATGCTGAATTCAACCTACCAGGAGCTGCATCCTAACTTTGGGGCCTGCATGAAAATCTCCGAGAGGCCTCCGGAAGCCGCCGGAAGCCCTCTCCGAAGGCCTCCCGGGGGGGGGCCTCCCATGGGGAGCCGTGGAGGCCGCACATGCTCTTCCGCTGGCAGCACCGCTGCCAGCGCTGCTCAGCAAGTCTGGCGGCACGGGTCCAGGTGGTTTTCGCTCCGCACTCTGCAATACGGCTGCAGCCACCGCTGGAGGCAGGAGGGTCCTCGTGGATAGAGCCTGACCTGCAGCCTACCTCAGCATCAACCCTCCCCCTTCCTCCCCTCCCTCGGAACATCCCCTCCCTCTCAACAAGTCCCCTCCACCCCCTCGCAGCACCTGCCAACCACCCTCGACCCCGTCCCGCCCACCCCCCTTGTTAAGCCCAGGGCCACTCCCGCTTCTCTCATCTCCGTCTTCTCCGCAGTTGTTACCGCACATGGCTTCGGGCACTTCGACTTGCCGGTGGCGTTGAGCATGGCCTGCACGTCCTGTGCTCGGGCGGCCACAGGAGGTCTTGTCCCCAACGCCTACCACACGGATCGACGTTCGGACCGTGTGCGACGCTGGCTTCCTTCCTCTGCCCTGATCGCGTGCGAATTTGAAAATGAAACGCGGAGTTGCTTGTGGCTCAGAGCTAGGAGAAGTGGGTAGAAGCATGAAGCAGGAAGCCGCTCAGAGATCGGGTTCCCGCCCACCCGCCCCCTGAAAAGGCAGGAAATGGTAAAGACATTGGATGATTGAAATGAGAAGGCGCCTGAAACAGATTGGAATATCAAAATCAAACAATGCCTACTGTTGACGAACGATGGGTAAACAGCTTCAGCTTCAGGGCTCTTAGGTCCCCTGACTTCGCGCACGCGCCGAGCGATGCGCGACGCGCGATCACCTTCTCACCCGCACGCCGCCCTATTGGAGAAGGACACCCGCTCTGGGCCAGACCGCGACGCGCGAAGCGCGATCATCTTCGAGCCCCCGCGGGTGACCTGAGTGTTCCCTCTGCCTTGATTGTTCCATGCGGGCTCCCTGGAAGCCCTGACCCTTTCCCAAGGGCCAGCTTTCCATCCTGAGTCGCTCTTGGTCGGGAAATCAAAAGGTACCGATACCGCTACTCCCCTGACCTCTCCTGGGGTGCGAACTGTCCAAAATCTTGAGGCGAACCCACCGGTGGCGACGAAGGCATCCCGGGAGGCCCAAAAACAGAAAACGGGCGGAGGTTAGCGGTATGGATGCCTTTTCCTCCTCCGATTGGGACTCGTTTCGGGGCTGGGCAAGAGCCCCTGGGTCGGGCGTTGGCAGAACTGGGTTTAGTGGGACCTGGTTTAGAGATGTGTACTGGGGGACGCCCCCCCCGCCCCGTTCCACTAACCGGCACTGCCGTCACCCGAAAAAACACCAGCTGCGGCAGACCTGGTTTGGTGACTCTGGCCAACTTAGGGGCTCCGGGGCCCTACCACTGACCGGGTCCCCCCACCTGGGGTCCTGGCTATACCCAGACATCTGACGTCTCGATTTTTTCGAGACACGGCCCCCCGACCTCCCGACCACTTCCCCGGGACCGGTTTTCCATCCCGAATCATCTTTTGACGGTCCCGAGGCCCGGTGAGGGCCTCGAGAGGCCGAAAATCTGGAAAACCTTCCGTCTCGATTTTTTCGAGACGCCCGATGTCTGGGTACCCGACTGGAGGCCGAGGACGGAGAAAAACCTCGGCCGTGAAACTGCTCCGCACGTCGGGGTGTCTGGGCGGGTCGGCGGGGCCGCGGCGCACAGCCCGCGGCGGCCAGCCCGCGCCGTGCGCCGCCTGCGAGGGTGCCCCCCCGCCGCAGGGGCCACTGGGGGCCCACGAGGGCCGCGACGGGCCACAGGCTCACGGACTGCCTGCGATCGGAGGCGTCCAAGAGGGGGGCGTCCAAGAGGGGGTAGTCGAAGCCAATCTGGCGCCAATCTGGCAGGCCCAATCTGGCAAACGGGGGCAATCTGGCGAGGGAGCCAACGCGAATCCAGTCTGGCGAATAACCCAAATCATCCAGTTTGGCCGGGCCAGGTTGGCCCTTGGGGCCCAGTCCAATCTGACAGTCTGGCCTTCGACTATCCAGCAAGAGGGGGGGAGCGCAAATCATGGCCGGCGGCAGGTGCGCGGCCCAGGGGGGGGGGGGGAGCCTGGGACGCGCTGAAATAGGAAGAGGCGCCAAGAAGTGCGCGGAAACATCATGACCCCCGCCACGATACCTGGCCAGCACCCCCCTCTTGGCTTAAGTCGGGCCTGTCCTCCTACAAGGGGATGTTGGACGAACAATGCAAAATACTCAAAAATGAACACCAAATGGCCAAAAAATACTCAAAAATCACCCCCCAGGCTATTTTTCGACTAGTCTGGGATATTCCTCCTGTAGGGGGACGTGCCCGACTTAACTCTTGGCCGCCCCCGACACGAGGGGCCGCTGGCCAGGCCGTTCGGCGGTGGACAAACCTCCCTGTAGTAAACCTCCCCCTAGAGAAAACGGCCTGGGGCCGAAACCGACGGACCTGGACCCGCAAAAATGACGGCCGCGACGCCCTCTCGCGAACCGAAAACGGCCAATTCGCTAATCGACGTGTCAGGGTAGGAGGTCTATCAACCTCCGACGCACTGAAATAGGAAGAGGCCATCATGACCCCCACCATGATACCTAGCCAGCACCCCCCCCTCTTGGCCGCCTCCGAACGAGGGGCCGCTGGCCAGGCCGTGGTCGTGGCCAGGCCGGGTCCGGGCCAAGAGAGGCCCAAGGCTTAGGTCGGGCGTGTCCCCCACAAGGGGATTTTGAGTGAAAAATGAAAAATATTGGGGGGGGGGCGGGGGGGGAAAAAAAACTCCCGAAATGCTCAAAAATAGCCCGCAAATCGTCCCCACACTATTTTTTTTTTACTATTTTTGAATGTTCCTCCCGCAGGGGGACAGGCCCGACATCACCCCAAGGCATGGGAGAGGGGGAGCGCAGCGGGGCCACCCCGGAGGCGCGGCTGCGCGGAGAGGGAGAGCCGCAGCACCGCACGGGATCACGGCCAGGGCCCCAGGCCCCAGCGGGGGCATTCCGCCCTCGGCACTTCGGGCACACGGCTGCTCCTCTTGCTCCTCCTGCTGCTCCTCCTCCTCCTCCTCCTCCTCCTCCTCCTCCTCCTCCTCCTCCTCCTCCTCGGAGCACGACGGGATTCATCAACGCTGGCGCCCCAGAGATTCCGGGCTGCGGCATTTTCGGGCCAGATCGAAGTGTGACTCAGGGGGCGCCAGGAGCAGGGATCGCAAGTCATGGCCGCGGGCACATTCGCGGACGACGGGGGGGACCCAAAGGACGCATTGAAGGAACAGCGGGGCAGGAAATCCAGGGAGGTATTGTGGCCCTGGCCACGTTATCCATCCCCTTCTAGTCATTACCCCCCTCTCGGCCGCCACCGAGTGCGGGCCCTGGGGCCCGACGCAAAATCGAAGGCCGGGCGCTGCGGAAACGCTGCGACACCGCAAGGTATCACGACCGGAGCCCTCGCCCCCATCTTCGGTGGCAACTCATGGGAGCCTCCCAGACCATCTTGTCGGCTCTTGCAAATCGACGCTAGTCGACGCTAAGTCGGCGCTCATCGACGCGAAGTCGACGCCAATCGACGCTAAATCGGCGCTATCTCATCGACCCCCAAACGCTAATCGCGAATCGACGCCAATCGACGCTGAAGACAAAAGTGAGAGGGCACACAGTTGAGCAGGGACCGACCGTCCCGACATTCCTGTAGTCCTACCGCGAAATGTCTTTAGAACCCAAGAATGCTTGACAAACAAGTGCTTGGTGGGGCCACAGGCGCGCCGGGGCGCTTCGCCACTGCTTGATGTTCGGGCCCGATCGATCCGCGATCTGCGAGGGCCTCGGGGCCCGCAACCGCCGGGGGCGCGCGCGCCCGGCGTGGACCCACGCGGGCACGGGGCCGCAGGGAGGCCGAGCGCCGCCGCCGCCGCCGCCCGCGCCAGGGGTCGCGGGGGGGGGGGGGGGCTGCAGGCCGCCAGGGATCGACCGTCCCGGCATGCCGGCAGGCCCGGCACGACGTGCTCTCAGGGCGCAAGGGCGCTCCAGGAGCAGAAACGAGACTCTTCGGAGAGGCTCGCCGACAGAGTGCTTCTGAGAACCAGACTGGCTCAGTCAGTACTGTCCTTAGAAGAAGTCGTGCAAACCAGGGTGGGCCGATAGGCGAGTCAGGACGCTTCGCCCCTGCTTGGTCCGCCCCGACCGAGGGCCACGGGGCCACGCGGCCGCGGGCCCCCCGTGCAAGGGGGGGGGGAAGGCAGACAAGAAGGTGGGTACCGATACCGGTGTGGATGCCATGACAATGCACACCCTAACAGTCCTACCATTGAATTCAGGATGTGTTTAAAATGTGTAAAACATGGTCTGAAAATGTTTCAAACATGTGCTTACATGTATAAAGCATGTTTGAACCATATTCTAGACATCTGGATTTTCGTTGGCAGCATGCTTCCTCTCCATGAATATACTTCCACAACGATACCGATACTCACCAGGCCTCTCCTGGGGTGCGCTCAGACAAGAACTTCGAGGAGAATCCGGGTACGTACCCGGATGTTTTCCAGCACGGAGGCAGGGCCAATGCACGCCAACCCTGCCCGAGGAACTATCTGCGGGAGCGACCTGCTGTCGCTGGCCCAAGGGCCTGTGAGCACCCAGGGCCAAAACGGCCACCCGGGGCCGTAGGCGACCCGAGGAGGAGGAGGAGGAGGAGGAGGAGGAGGAGGAGGGAGCCTAGGAGGAGGAGGAGGAGGAGGAGGAGGAGAGGAGGAGGAGGAGGAGGAGGAGGAGGAGGAGGAGGGAGAGGAGGAGGGAGACTAGGAGGAGGGGAGGAGGAGGAGGAGGAGGAGGAGGAGGAGGAGGAGGAGGAGGAGGAGGAGGGAGAGGAGGAGGAGGGAGACTAAGGAGGGAGACTAGGAGGAGGTGGAGGAGGTGGAGGAGGAGGAGGAGGAGGAGGAGGTAGAGGAGGAGGAGGAGGAGGAGGAGGAGGAGGAGAAGGAGGAGGACGGGTTGCCTAAGGCCTTCGGAGACACCCTCCGCAACCGCCCCGACAGCGGGCCACGGGGCCACCGAGCGGAGGGCCGAGCGCCGCCCTCGCCCCTCGCGCGAGGCGGCCACGATGCGCCTGCGGGGCGCCAGGGGTCGCAGGTGGAACGCCGCGCGCGCACCGGGGGGTCACGGCACGGGGACACGCAGCCGCGGGCCCGCCGGGCCGGGAGAGGGAAAGAAGACGAAGCCAGGATGGGGATAAATCTGAACGAGGACAGATCGGGACAAAGCCAGGACGAGGACGAATCTGGACGAGGGCACATCGGGAATCTCCGAGACCCGGCGGCTCTGGAGGATGCAGGGGGGCGCCGCGGCCTCCTCAGAGCGTTCCGCAGCGCTCTGAGAGCGCTCTGGAACGCTCTGGAACGGATTTATCCTCGTCCTGGCCCCGTCCGAGGAAAGTATGCACCTGGCGGCGCGAGCAGAGCGGGGCGGGGTCGGGCAGCAACTCCTGGGAGGCCTTCGGCAAAACTATCTCGGTCAAGCCCCCGCGCCTTCTGGGAAATTGTTTGTGCCTTCGTGGGAGGCCCAAAAAACTTCTCAGAGGGCCCGCGGGCTCCCGAGCCTCGGCCCGCCCCTTCTCACTTCCCCCCCTCGCTCGCTCGCCGCCGAGAAGGATCAGGCCAGTCTTTGACCACGGGTACAACAGCGCCGAAACTGAATTTGACCTCCCAGGAGTTGCAGCCTGATCGGGGTAAGGGTTGTGGATGCCATGACAATGGACACTCTAACAATCCTATAATTGAATTAGAGATGTGTTTAAAATGTGTAAAATATGTTCTAAAAATGTGTCAGACATGTTGTTGTACACATTTAAAGCATGTCTGAAACATCTGTTGGAAATCTAGAAATTATTTGGTAGCATCATTAATCGACTTCCACAAGCCAAGGCTGAATTTGACCTCCCAGGAGTTGCAGCCTGATCGGGGCAAGGGGGGCCGCCCTCTGAGAGGGCAAGGGGCCTGCCTGGAAGAGACCCCAGGCTTCTGAGAAGGCCTCTCATAGAGGGCAGGAGGGCTTCTATGAAGGGGCCGATTTCTCATAGTTTCATGTACTTTCTGGGTTGTCGCCTTCCCCCCCACTTCCCATATGTTCCTATCCTCTTAGGAATCGACGATCAAGTGTGTCTGTGTGTGATTTCCCCTTCTGATTCTAAGAAGCCCCCTGGCCTTTCCAGAATCGGGGAAACCCAAGACTCGAGATTTGGGTGCTCGAGCTAGGGTGACGGTGCCGTCAGAAAAATGGCAGGACCCAGCCCGAAACTTGACGCGAGCTCCCGCTGCAAACGTCTCATGAGAAGTGGACCGTCAAAATTCGTGCCAAGAGCGCCGAAAAAGCGGCGGCTAACACGAGATCGGTGAAAAACCGAGTCCTAAGTTTCCCCGACGAAAGGCCGATCCCCCCCGAGATGGTTTGCATTCGCGCGGCGAGTACCAGCGTGAGGGGGGAGGGCCAGCCCCCCGCCCTGATGCCGTGGCCCAGACCTTGGTGCACGCTGGCGCCCAGCCAGGCCAGAGGGGGCCTTACGATCGATGCGCTCAAGATGAGCATGCTGCGAGCAAGAACAGAAGACGAAGGCAGGATGGGGATAAGTCTAGAAATCGAGGACCTCTGAGAGCAGGCGGGTCTGGAGGATGAACAGGCGCCGCGGCCGTTGTAGAGTGTTCCGAAAGGCTCTGAGATCGTTCCTGAATGCTCTGGATCGGTTTATCCTCATCCTGGGTCTGCCTGGGAACAATACATTCCCATCTCGACCCACCTCTGGCCTTTCCAGAAGAGCAGAAACTCTGTGGAAGACTAGGGAACTCATGCAACGTGGAGTGTCCCCGAGATGGGCAAAACCAAATCCAAGAACCCGAAATGTATCGATGGGGCTATTGAAACCCCACGCCTGCACCCCAGCACTCCACAACAGCAGCGCCTCATTACCTGGCAAACGCCGTCGGGCTTGAAAATTTGGCATGATGACCGACCGTCCAGATGGGCCGATCGACCAGTGCCGAAAATAACCTTCCCCACTTGACCATACGATGGACCGGCCAACGTCCGAGGGAGAAGGATGGGGGGGCGGCTCAGGGGGGGGAGGGGGGGGGGCGCATCGAGCTCGAATCGGCGATGCATCGCCGATGGATAGGCGATAGGCCCCCGAGATGGCGGACCCACACGTTTTTGGGCGGGACGGGCTATCGGGCCCTTATCGACGATGAATGGGCGATCGGTGCTCGATGCATCCCCCTCTGAACCTAGACTCCCCAACCTTGCCCCCGACTTCCCCGCCGGACCATGCTGTTGACCAGCCAACGTAGCTCCTGGAAGAGGGAGTCGGCGCTGAACGCCGGGTACCAGTCTGGGTGCCTGTTGAAGCCACTGGTCCTGGGTCTGGGGCGGGACCCCCCGCGAGCTATCCACGACCAGGGCTCGCCGACCTAGTTCCTCTCAAACTCGACACGAGCCAGCGGACTCGAAATGAGAAAGTACGTTTACCACCGTCGAGACACCACAGGCCACCTCGCAGCCGCGGTAACCCCCACCGTCCCGTTCTGGATGGAGGTGGGGTGATGATCATGGCGGTGCTGGCGGTGCTGGCAAGGGCGGCGACGGCGAAACCATGATACCCCCCCCCCCAAAAAAATGCAAGTTGCTCGACAGCGGCCTACTTCTCTTTGTGAGGGCGAGCGCGGACCCTTGGGGCGCATCGTGTCGACCAAATCCGCCACCGTGCCTCTTGGCACAGAGCGGGTGGGAAAACCTGACCGGACAAGAACGGGAAGCGCCGTTTTTTATCCACCACGTGCGTCAGAGACCGTATTGGCGAGAACGTCAGAGGAACCCATAAACGCAACAGAACAGACTAAATGATGGCCTGCCGCGCTGGTCTGTCGAGGTAGTCTGCTGCCCTGGCCACATCATGGTGTCGACATCATGGTGCGAATCAGAAAGGAATATCCGCGGACCCTGAAAGCATGGTGTTGCTGCAGAGCGTAAGACCATCTCTGGACGCCCTGTGGGCATCCCTGTTGCGTTTCCTGGCTTCGGCGCCGTCTTGGAGGTATCTTGGACGCTCTTGGGGCTGTCGTAGCCTCTGGCCTCTCGGGGGCCTCTTGGGGGAGTCCCGGGGGGGGCCTTCGGGGGCTCTATGGGGCGATTTGAAGCTCTCAGGGAACTCCTGGAGCCTTTTCGCGCGTTCTGGGGGACTTCTGGCCGCCTCTTTGGAGCCCCTGGGGGGCTTCTTGGGGGTCTCTTGGGGCGTTTTGGGCGCTCTGGCGGGCCTCTGGCCGCCCCTTGGGGGCCTCTTGGGGGTCTCTTGGGGCGCTCTGGGGGTCCTCTGGGGGGCCTTCGGGGGCTTTCTTGGGCCGTTTGGAGGCCCTCCGGGAGCGATTCCAAGATAATGCTGCTTCGGAGTCCCCTCCGGAGCCGATTTTTTGAGGACGTCCCGAGCGAAACGGCCAATTTTCCGGAACCTGACCGGACAAGAACGGGAAGCGTCCTTTTGTCCCCTGGGCTTATGAGATATTCCACGTTTTTAGTACGGCATACCACAGCAGTGCCACGTACCACTGCCGTGCTCCTTTGGGGTCTGCCGTGCTCCTGTGGAGTTTGCCGTGCGAACGTGTGGTCTGCCGTGCCTGTGTGGTCTGGCGTGCTCCTGTATGGTCTGCCGTGCTCTTGTGTGGTTTGCCGTGCTCCTGTGTGGTCTGCCGTGCTCCCGTGGGGTCTGCCGTGTCCTGTGTGGTCTGCCGTGCTCCTGTGTGGTCTGCCGTGCTCCTGTGTGGTCTGCCGTGCTCCTTCTTGGTCTGCCGTGCTCATGTGGTGTCTGCCGTGCTCCTGTGCGGTCTTCCGTGCGAACGTGTGGACTGCCGTGCTCATTTGGGGTCTGCCTTGCTCCTTTGTGGTTTGCCGCGCTCCTGTGTGGTCTGCCGTGCTCCTGTGTGGTCAGCCGTGCTCCTGAGGCGTCTACGGTGCTCTTTTGGGGTCTGCCGTACTCATTTGGGGTCTGCCGTGCTCCTGTGGTCGGCCGTGCTCATTTGGGGTCTGCCGCGCGCCTGTGAGATCTGCCGTGCTCCTGTTGGGGAAACGCCAGCGGCGTTCGGGGTACAACAAAAAGGCGCGTTTATGTTGTACCCGCGCGCGGTCTGCCGTGCTCCTGTGGGTTCCGCCGTGCTCCTGTGGCGTCTGCCGTGCTCCTGTGGCGTCTGCCGGGCTCCTGTGTGGTCTGCCGTGCTCCTTTGTGGTCTGCCGTGCTCCTGTGGAGTCTGCCGTGCTCCTGTGTGGTCTGCCGTGCTCTTGTGGTCTGCCGTGCTCATTTGGGATTTGCCGTGCTCATGTGGGGTCTGCCGTACTCCTGTGTGGTCTGCCGTGCTCCGGTGGTCTGCCGTGCTCCTTTGGGGTCTGCCTTGCTACTGTGGGGTCTGCCGTGCTCCTGTGTGGTCTGCCGTGCTCCTGTGGTTTGCCTTGCTCCTGTGTGGTCTGCCGTGCTCCTTTTGGGTCTGCTCTGCCGTGCTCCTGTGGGGTCTGCCGTGCTCCTGTGGGGTCTGCCGTGCTCTTGTGGGGTCTGCCGTGCTCCTGTGTGGTCTGCCGTGCTCTTTTGTGTCGTGTCGTGTCGTGCGGGGCCTATGAAGGCTAAAGGAAGCCCGAGGCCCACGGAGCGCATTGGCCCCAGGGCCTCAAGGGCCAGCCCTGGGGGCCCGAGAGGGGCCTCCGCAGGGAGGGGGGCGCTGAGCGCTAGACGCGCGACGCGCACGATTTCAAAGAAATCAAGGAGCAGCAGAGGCAGCGGCGCGCACGCACGCCCAACAAGCCCCCCAAGCTGCGAGTGCGACAGGGGTAGAAGAGCTGCCTCACGCACAGAATGGAAAAGGAAGACGGGGGGCGGACACAACAGAAGGGAGGAAGATGCTGCATCGCACCCCTCCGTCACCGCCGGCGCGGCGGCGCCTCTTGCGCCAGCCCACGCGTGCCGACACAGCCGCGGCTGGCCGCTCCTGGAGGCTCGCCTCCCAAGGCCGAAGGCGCAAGCCAGTCCTCACCCCGTGGCCCCCGCGGGCCAGGCGCCAGCGGCTCCGCCGCCGCCTCTGCAGCCGCCGCCGCGCCGCTGGGGGCCCACTGCCGTCGCCAGCGGCCTGCCGCAAGGGGCGAGCACGGGGCGGGCCCCCAGCAGCTGAAGGAAGCGCACCCGCGCCATCAGCACCACTTCCTCCTTGCGAAGGCAGGGTGCAGTCGAGCCGACCCCCTTGCTGCCGCTGTGGGGCGTGCCAGGGGAGGCCGACATCAACCACTTCTTCGTCGCCTCCTGCGTCCCGCATTCCACGGCAATGGGCCAATGGGCGCTCTGAGCGGGCCAATGGGCGGGGGCTGCCCTTCCCGCTGCAGCTCGGCCATCCACGTCCGCAGGCAGACGTATTCGTAGCGCCGTATGCAGTCCGACACGATCATCTGCGACCGCGTCAGCGTGTGGCGCCACCTGTAGTAGGCCCTCCTCGCAGGCATGCCAGTCCCCCAGGCCCGCTCGCAGATCTCCTCGGCTACCTCCTCGGCCGTCCTCCCACGCGCCCGCAGCCTGGAGGCGAAGCGCGGCTGGGACAGGATCTGCGTGACGTAGCCGACGCAGTGGTCCATCCACTCGCTGTAGCATTCCATCGTTTCGCCAACCTCGGGGGTCTGGGTCCAGAAGCGCGCCCATACAGCGAGCTGCCGCTCAAGCCTGGGCGCGACGCTGCGCCTCGGCTGCGCTGGCTCAGGCCGAGCCGCCACAGCGCCAGGCCATAGCTCCTTGAGCTTGGGCGCCGCACCTCTGCTCACGCCAAGCCTCGCATACGCCCCGCAGTGGGTGCCCGCAATCAGCTCCTGCTTGGCCGCGCCGACTCCGCACCTGTCGAAGGCAATCCACTGCCAGATGAAGGAGACTTGCGCCTCCCCGCCTGGCTCAACCACCACTTCCATCATGCCTAAGAGCCCGCGCCTGGCCGCCGCACTGGCTCGGTGCCGCTCCGCACCTGCCTTGGCCCAGATGTCGGCGAGACCGTTGCCGCTGAGGTGGGCCTCCGTGACCTTGCTGTCCAGCACGCCACTGGCGGTACAGTGAGCTGCAGCCGTGGTCGCCTTGAGCGTGTCCACGTCCAGCGAGGCGTAGATCCCCTCCCAGAGAAGGGCATTGGGCCTGCTGGCTGCCGTTGCGTGCCTCTTGCCCCACGTGAGACAGCTGACCGTAGACGCACAGCCGATGAGGATCTCCTCCGCACGCGGGCCCAGGAAGCGAGCAGACATCCTGGGGGCGACGCAGGACAGGGCGAAGAGGGTGCGCACCGAAGCCCCCGCGCGTGGTGGCGCAGGAGGCAGCGCAGGCTGCCAACGCCGAAGAGGCCTCGAACAATTCGGAGAGGTGGTCGCCGCCCTCGGCCTGGCACGTCGCCTCCGAGGGCTCCAGGAAGTGTCCCCGCACCGCCACTGCCATCCCAACTCCTCGAGGGGCTCAGGCTCCATGTTGAAGTCGGCTTGGAGGACCCACAGGATGTCGACAGGGAGGCCCGTCACCTCCGAGAAGGCCGAAAACAGGACCAGGTCGGTGACTCGCGGGCCCGCAGGGTGCTGGACATACTCAGAGACCGCCAGGGACAGCGGGCCCGAGGCGGAGGCTACCTCCACACAGCGAAGGCGGTGCCGCAAGGCGGAGGGCAGCGAGAACTCCGACTCGTCGGCCTGCACGCCGTCTCGCACCAGGGCCGCCGCCCCGCCTGAGGTCGCCTGGGGCCCCTGCTTGCCCGACAGCGCTGCCTCGGGGAGGACTGCCACGTAGCCCAGGCCGCTGGCCTGAGCCGCTGCACTGGGCAGGCGCACATGCGATAGCCTCGTCTCCTGCCGCGCCACCACGTCGAGCCAGTAGTAGCACGTCTTGGAGAAGGCCTCTATGACCTCAATGCTCCTGTTCCAAGTGTTGCCATTGCAGCCGAGGAGGACAAGGCCAGCTCGTAGCTGCTGGCCTCCCCCCCTGACCACCATCGGCGCCTTGCCCGTGACGGCTGCCACGCGGACTGCACGCTGCCCAGCGCACGACACAGAGGACGCCGAGCCCCTGGTCGCGGGAACCTCCGCCCCCACCAGGACTGGAGGGGGGACCTGGCCCCACGCTCCAGCGCTCCTCATCGGCGAGGGCGGGCCGCTGGCCTGCGCGGGAGGTGGCCACCGCTGAGGAGGAGGCCGTCCCTCGACCCCTCCGGTTGCCGGCGGGGGGTGTCCCTGCCCATCACCAACGGGGCCGAGAGCTGCGACGTCGTGGGGCTGAATCCCACCGCTCACGGCCCCTGACTGGCCGTCGGGGGGCCACCTCGGTGTTCCCGACCGCGCCAGTTGGCTACCTCGGGCAGGGGTGCACGGCG